CACACACACACACACACAGACACACATACACACACACATGACACACACACACACACACACACGCACACACACACACACAAATACAAATTATATTATATGTATCCGCCTGATGACATTTGCTAAGCACTAAAAAAATGGTCTGTGATTAAAATTATAAGTGGTAGCAAGTATTAAAACACATTAATTAGAGAGTTATTGAGAGCACTGCAGACAAGTCTGAGCTCCAATTTAGATAACTCTCTCCTTTCAAATTCAAAAAACAAACCTGAAATTATAATTTCTCAAGCAATCAAAACGAAAAGAACTCCTTTACTCCAAATCCAAAGTTAGAGAGCACCTTTAACTTTAAGAAGCAAGTATTTTTTAATACACCAACAAGGAGGTACAAGCATTGACGCTTTCTTGATTTAGTGATACACACCAAGGGCCAGCCTACCTTCAATGCATTCATTTCTCCCGAGAAGTCTACGAGATCCCACGCATCAGCGTACGTTTTTGAAAAGCCATTCCGAGTGAGAGAATCATATAGTGCATACAAAGTGTCCTTAGTACTTTGCCATGCGGGAGAATTGAAGAAGTTTGAAATCACAATCCGGACAGGAATTTTTTCCCCGTCTTTTAGTGTGATGTGGGCTGTGAAGTAAATTCCATAAAACAGGAGGGCCAGCCACAAGAAAGCTGCAATGCCGTACAAAACGAGGGAGGAGAGGGATGATTTCTGCTTGTCTCTGAGTGGTCGCCAGCACAGTCCCTTCCACCATGTCACCAATGCAGCAAAAATAGTTGGCAGGAAGACATTTGACTCATTAGTGATGAGCCAAGGCACAGCTAAAACAGAGCCGAGGAGTGGGTACAAGAGAGAACACTGCAGCTCTCCAATATTGCTCACCAGATACACTCCTGAAAAAAGCAAACAAAAAGACACCATGAAGATAAAGGTCTTAATCTACGAAGGACGTCCAGAAAGTAAGTACCGTTTTAAAATAATTATAAAAGAAATAATTTTTCCAATCAAAACGATTTATTTTTGAATACCTCATATATATGACTACTTCTCCACGTAGTCACCAGAACTGTTGAAGCATTTGTCGTAGCATGGGACGCGCTTCTGAATGCCCTCATCGTGGAAAGCTGCCACCTGCGATGTCAGCCAAAGTCTTGTCTCTCCTGTGAGATCAGCATCTGAGTCGAAGTCCTGCCCGACCAAAACTTTTTCAAATGCAGGAACAGATGAAAGTCACTCGAAGCCAGGTCTGTACGATGAGTGCTTCAACTGTTCCCACTCGAAGGAGGCGATCAGGTTTTGGGTCTGTGCAGACTTGTGAGGAGTTGCATTGTCGTGAAGAAGAACAACGCCATCACTAAGCATTCCGCCGGGCAGGACTTCGACTCAGACGCTGATCTCACAGGAGAGACTGGACATTGGCTGACATAGCAGGCAGCTTCCTACGATAAGGGCATTCAGAAGCGTGTCCCATGCTACGACAAATGCCTCAACAGTTCTGGTGACTACGGGGAGAAGTAGTCATATGAGGTATTCAAAAATAAATAGTTTTGATTGAGAAAATTATTTCTTTTATAATTATTTTTAAATGGTACTTACTTTCTGGACGTCCCTCATGTTTTGTAAGGATAAAAAGAAAAATCTAAAATAGAAAATTATTACAAAATTAAAGAAATATGCATACCCCCCCCCCTCCCCCAACACACACACACACACACCACACACATATATTTAATTTGTTCGACTTACAATGAATATCCAGGCAGTTATTTTAATGTCTTTTTCATACATCTTTCCTGTCTTCACACGCAGATTTGGGTTTTTATTTGATAGCTTATAATTTATAATTATATCTTTCGTAGTAGTAGTAAAGTTGTATGCAAGCTCCCTCAGATGGCATAATTCACAAACAAATGCAATGTGTCTTTCTCTTTAGTGTTCCATGGTTAAGTAGGTACCAACACTGAGCTTGTCTTGATAAAATGAGTAGGATGTTACCTTTCTGCTTTTATAATTTAACTCAATACCAAAAGTCGAACCTGCCATAGCGGTCACATCTCGATAGCTGTCACCTGTACTAATAACCACTCTGTTCAGTGAAACTCTTACTTTTTCCTATTTTAGCCTCCTGTCTATAGCAGCCCCTGTCCAACAAAGCAATGGTCAGTCATTTTCACAAGTCGACTAGCTCATATTACAGTGGTCACTTGTTTTCCGCAACCCATCTTCACACGGAGTATGAACATTCAATCAATGCAAAGAAGCTCTTATGATTGATAACAATTTTGATGCAAACTTATTAAACTTAACTGATGCTGGCAGCAAAGTTGCCGCCACACCAATTATTCATCCTGCTGATTCAGAGCAGAGAGTTCCAGTGGGCTGCTGAGTCACGCCTGCTACAAGGCACAGAATCTGGTGAGAAGCCCCATTATGAGTATCAGGAAAAAAAGGCTTTTACAATTTTTTCATTTACATTTATACACACATCTCACACTTTGTGGTTGCAGCCGCGTCATATTTTGATGGCAGTGGGTGGTTGGCAGGTGCTCTGGTGTGGCTTGCTGCTTCTTTCAGGTGTAATATATGAAACATCATCATGTATCGCCCTATCTCTCCTCCTTTTTTGTTTTTGTTGTAACTCTTTCATGTCATAGCATCTCTAATCTTTGGCACTTATGATTTTATTGTGATGCAAGTGATGTAAAACACTTTACTAAAGTTGATGGTGTCAGGTGCAAATAGGCCAAGCCCAACACTTCCATTTCTTTTTTTTTTATTACTGGTACCTCTATGGACCATCCTAATATCTGGCACAAGAAGTTAATATTTCTTTCCCTCAAATAACTTGCTGAAATTACCTCAATTCATTTTTGCTTCATTTACACAGATTTTCGCACCTGAAAAATGTCCTTACATGGAATGGACGTTACTGGTAGCAGGCGACTCAACAAACAGTCAGGAATGGATAACTCAATAACATCCATAATTCAGGTTAATTGATAAATAAAAATTGAAGACAATTAATAAAAGCGACCATTTTCACAATTTTTCTAAAATTAGGCCACCCTTACCTCCTTCCATTGCAAGACTTCTATTCAGGATAGAAGAGATGTATTTTTTTCACCGGTAGCAAGACAAATGAACCAGCTAAGATGATATCAATTAACTCCACATTCTAAAAATTGACAAAAGTGCCTGATTCTGCCAAGTCGTGACACCTTGTATTTCTCAACATGTATTATCTGATAGTCTACATGATTCAGAGTGCCCATAACATCACAGTCACAGTAACTTGGCCATATAAGCCACAACATACACCACAGGGAAGGACTTCCATATATATCGATACCACCCCAACAAAGACAATAGAAGAGACCTTGGAACCCTAACCCTACCCTAACCCTACCCCAAACACTACCCCAAACCCTAACCCTCTATTCTACACTTACTTTGTTTCATCGTGGTCATTCGTTACGGAATTCCTCCCCACTTGAGGGTATTTTACAATACACCAACACTAGTGACACAAGACAACACAATTCACTCACCCAAGGAGCTGCCCGAAAGGACCAAGGCTACAAACAAAGTTCTGCAAAACAGGTACCAGTACCATGCAGGACTTCCATCAATTTCCTTGGCAGCATACTCTGGGGTAAGGCAACACAAAGCCAGGCTCAGAACAAATCCAAGCCCAAGCATTCCACACAAACGAAAACTGCTGCAAGATGGCTTCCCTTCAGCTATTGATGACAAGTGTCGCATTTCAAAATCTTTGTCTCTGTTAATCCAAGCCACATAATCAGGGATTCTCCAGAGGTCTCGCAACCATCCCAAGCCAAATCCTCCGCCACAGGTAATGAACCATGCTATTGCTTGATTCCAACGGTCCAGGTATACATGATGCCACCCAAACCAGCCAAAAAATAACCACAAGATGTACGTTATTACAAGGCTTGCCATCGTACAGTCACTCACTGATGATTATGCTTTCTAAAATAAGCACGACAATATCACATCATTAAAAGTAGAATATTTATTTTTTAACCTCTACTTTCAAACATGCTATGACCAATCATGAACAATAAAGATCCTAATACAAATGACTCTATGGCCTAGGCATGACGCATGAGGGAAAACAGCTCTGTAGACACAGCACCTTTTGTTATGCCCAGAGTAAATTATATTATTTTATATAATGTCAATAAACTTGAAATTCAAAGGCAATATAAGGCCATCAAATCCCAGTGTTGGTCTTGTGTGTACTTCTAATCTAGATTCTTATCATCTAATAGATCTAGATTCTACTACACTACACTGTTGGAAACCACACAACTGACAACAGCACACAAGGGCAGGGCATAGAATCTACCATGTAGCCACGAGGATTAAATCAACACAGAGCTCCTGTCCCTGTTCACACATTCAACCAGTGTCTAAAACGTTGCAAACCATCAAGTGCCAATTGGTAATAAGTACAGGAGTGCCCTACCCTACAGCAGGAGGACTCCCTACAGCACGTTAAAATTGAAATTGAAAGAAAAGAAGCAAGCTGGGCTAGGCTAGGCTACCGCAAGCTGTCGACGTATCCGCTTTACGGGTCACAGTCACGGTTTACTGCCTTCACCTCTCAAGTGCTAGGCTAGCCTATAGGCCTACAATTGCTAGATCTAGATTTGTAGATCTAGAAACCCTAGAAATCTAGATTTAGAGGTAACGTGCGTAGATCTATAAATATAATAGCAAAATTTGACTTCTACGATAGACACTCCTTATTGTTGATTGTTGTTGATGTTTTTCTTGGGGTACGTATCTGGGATTTTCGCTTTTTTACTTAGAAAGAGATACAAAAAAAAAAATTGATACATTTTAATAATTATTTCAAATATCACATTATTATATATACTCTATATAATCATAACATTATGTTTTGGTCCTGACACCTTTCTAATATTTGATAAAGAACAATATACACCTTTCTCAATTATAGAACTAATTTAGTTGATACATCCGCTTCCAAATAAAAATGAAACAATCAAGATGTATGGCATTAGCTAGGCCTATACAACTGTGATCTGGTGAAACACTTTTTGGGGGGGTCGATCTCGGGAAGAAAAATGTGTTTTATCAGAGCACTGGTGTATAGCTCTTCTAGAACTATTCCTTGAGCTGTTTATCAGTATCAGTTGTTGTTTTATTTATTAGTTAAATGGTTGAAAAAAGTTAAGTCTTGGCTTCAGTTTAATATTATTTGACCACTTCAACTATAAAAATAATTTTAAACACGTAAAATTACAGAATATTAGTAATTACAGTAGTCTCCGTGTATTCTTCTTCGTAAATTATTACTATATGTATGTCCTTACAGATCTGCCAAGTAATTGACTAATATTTGCAGATTACTTGATGGGCCGTCAAATTGATGCATAGATTCTATTATTATTAAGTTAGGGAAAGGTTGGGATACATGGGACAATATTTAGGATTTTTTTTACTCAAAGCAATATCTAAGAAACCATTGAAGTTGTAAATAAACATCTGACTTAAATTGTGCTAAAAGTGGATTGTTTACTGACAGATTGGCGTCAGCTAAAGCCCATTGATTTTCCTACTTCGCGACGGTTTAATTAACATCATCAGAAGTTTGTATGAATGGGACAAAACAAAAGGATAGGCTACATAAAATGGGACAAGTAAATTATAAGGTTGTCTATGACTATCAATAAACGGACAAGACATGTATATTATGCACGTGGTCTTCAATTAGAACCATAATAGAATCCACAAATGGGGTGAAACACTTTAAAAGTGGGGAAAACCAACAATGAACGACAAATTCTGAATTTAATCTGACAAGCGTTATAATCATTTACCGGAATTTGTATTGATAAGTAATTTATATCAATTGAACTGTAAACTTGACAGAAAATGACATCATCCATTTTGTTCTGGGGGTAAGTTATA